CCCCAAAACCCCAAAACCCCAAAACCCCATATATCTAGAATTAATGATTATAAGCGAATTTAAATAGATAATTAATCAGAATTTGCGACTGCCTCTGAACCCTTGAGGCTTTCCGAAGTTAGCTGGGCTCTCCATTGGGTTAGGTCCGCTACTGTTAGTATGCATTCTGTCGTCGTGAGTGTACTGCTGTGAATTTCTCATTGAAGCCTAGTCATCGAAGATTTCTCCTCTTCTGAATTCAACAACTTTATTCATTAGGTCTATAAGGTTGGAGCTCTGATAAGCTTTCTGGTTCACCTCTGCAAAGCTCTTAATTGAGTTGTAGACGAAGTCTTTCAAGTCTTAAGTTGAGTCTTCATAGTCGTGCAGGAATTCCAAGAATTCCCTCACGTTTTGCTTGCAGTCATTGTCACAGTCTGGCTGGTACAGTAGTTGCAAAGTCTTGATAAAGATCTCAAGGCATTCCTATGAATTATAAAATTAGTTTTAAGCTTACTTTGAGGATGCTTGGCTGCATTTACTGATGGCAGAAGAATTTCTTAAGGATCTCAATGGAAGTGTTGCTAAAGTCTCTATAGCACAAGGAGATGAACAAGTAGTTCTTCAAACTGGCAAAGATAACCAGCCATTGATCCAACTCCTCATCCTTGAAGTCTTATTGTAGACAAGCCTCAAAGATTTCAATGTGTGCCCATTCTAGGTTTTCTAGATTGTTGCTAATAACGTACTTCTCCAAAGCCTATGCTATATACAGTGAGTTCCATTCATGGGGAGCTCCATAGGTTCTATATTTATCTGTGTTGCCTCCAGAAACATAAACTTCTTCCTCTGTCCCTGGAAGAGGTTCTACTTCAAGAGTTGCTGATCTGATATTGTCAGGAGCATTCAAAAGTATTTGAAGATAAGTAGCTGTGTACTCAGGATAAAAATGAAGAATCTTAGCCAAGTATATTAGTCCAATCTTGATAGTTGCCTTTGGAGCAGTTGATGTGAGAATAGAATGAATCATTTCAAATATAATAGGTGTGTATGTCTCAATCACCTGATCATTGATCTACCCTCCTGGAATCATATTTTTAAATTTATTGTTTTGATTTGGACTTCTGTCGAAAGTCTGTCTGTCAGTTTGCTGAATCCTGCTTTGCTCATTGGATGTCTCCACAATCTTGTCCTCATCCTGCTTGTCTCTGAACTGCTCTGACTCGTCTACTTGAGTGTTGAAGAAGAGCAGGGCATTCGAGCAAAGAATCAATAACTATCCCTTTAGTTCCCAGTAGTCTTCCTTGCACATCTTCTAGAGCACAGGAATCATAGGCAAAATAGGTCCAAGTTAAATTCTTGAGAAGTATGAGAGAATTGAAATACATTTAGTTCTAGTCACTGGAGACTATTGATATATCCCCTAGGCTGCATCTCTCAAATAGAAATTGTAAATCTCTGGTGAAATATCTTCGCTCTCATAAAGCAATAGCTTGCTGATGATGAAGTAATAAGCATCTTTCTTGGTGCTGCCAATCTTTTCCTTGATCTTTTAAAGCACTCTTAGATGTGAGTTAGTTGTGTTCTAAACGAAGCAGTATAGCAAGTAGACCATGTCATTTCTTTTGAACAGGTTATCGACCATTATTTCCAGTAATTCATCGATGCCATACTCTAGGAAGTATATTTCTGTTTAGAGTGGGTCATTATTTAGGAGTTTGTTTGCTACTTAAGCCAAAGTCTCATTCATTAATTAGAAGATATTTTTGCCTTTGTTTTAGACAGCTCCATCTTCATTGGTTGAACTGCCAATAGTGATCATTGGGTTTATTTGCTTGAAGCATTTCGAGAAGAATCGGATCAAGTCACAGAAATCAAGCATGTTTCTTGACAGGACATTCACAATTTCTTCTTGTCTATCATTCATCTCTTAGAAAATATCGAATATTAGTTCATCTGTGATATATGAGAATCTATCTGTGAAGTACTGAATGATTTTATCATAATTTTCTTTGAAGTTCTTATACTCAGGATCACTCTTGCTCATTTTATTTGCTAAGTTTTGACCAACTATATCAACTAGAATGTTGTCCAAGATAAGTTCATCGCTATCTTCTTCTTAAATTCCTCCTGGCAGTTTGTTTTGATTTTCTCTTTTCTGATTTGCTTCTTGCTTCATAACTCTGATGCTTTTATTGGCAGTCTTGACTTAAACTGGCTTAACATCTCCTTGTGGAGGTTACTCACCTTGGTTGCTTGTATCATTCTTTGACAATTATCCTCTTGCCAAGCCTCTCTTTGTTTGAGAAAGCACCTTGGCACTTGCTAGTTCAACATGCTTCACTGAAGCGAAGCCTCTTTTAGTTTTTGTATATCTCTCTGGGTTTAGTCTTTCACTTCTAAGCATATCATTATGAGTTGTGATAACAGTCTTGGCTTTTTCTGACTGTCTCTTAGCATCAGCAATTCTAGCCAATTCATGATCCTTCATCTTTTTAGCAATAGTTGGCTTGGCATAGTCAGGGTCTACATTATCCTGCATATGCTACTATTATATGGGCTGCAAATTGTCATCGATTCTAAGGAAATAATGATTAATATCTGAAAGTACAATTTATATTGCTTACTCTCTGCTAGTCAGTGCTTTATAGACTTTTTTGAGAAGTTTATAACCGGCATCTGGAGCACAATGGATGACTGGGTCATAGTCACTGTATTCAATTGGTATCGACTTCTTCTTGAAGAATTTCTAAAGATGCTCCCAATTGTTAACCTTCTTATCTAGCTTAAAACCGTTGTCGTATTGATACATCTCTAAATCATCTGGGTAGTATCTATATTCCAATTCATAAGATGAATTGCAAAATGATATGGTACCTTGAAAAGATTTCAGCAAAGACCCAACCATTAGAGAGATCTCTTTTGGGGTTGGAAATCTTGTAGGTTAAATTGAGAGACTAGAGCCATAAATGTAGCTCTCTTGGAAATGTTATCATATTTTTAATTCTTAATTATTTTAATTTAAATTAACTCTATTTTATTATTATTACTCTATGGGGTTTTGGGGTTTTGGGGTTTTGGGG